CCTCCCCCTGGAACGGAAATGCCCCCTCCCGGCTCCTTGTGGGATGAGCACGGGACAGACACACAGACCGACAGACAGCTGTCCGTCAGACAGTGCGGGGCAGTGCCGGACCGGGACGAGGGCTCTACTTCGGCCACTGACCTCTCGGGCGAGCCACTGCCCCGCTCTGTGCCTCAGTTTCCCTCTCTGCCCGCGTCGTGGAGCCGCTCCCACCCCCAGCTCTGCCGGTGCCCTTCAGACCTGACCCCCAGCCCCCTGCTACTGACCCTCAGGGGGAATGGGAGCTGAGAGCAGCCTCGCACTAGGGCATTAGAGAAAAGTGTGTGTGTACAGGGATACTGTAACACATCCAGGGTGTGTGGCTATTGCAAGCCAGCAGAGTAGGTGTGTGACGGCTCCGAAATCCTGCAAGACACCTGCGTGTGCGCGTGTGGCAGCAGGGACACTTCAACACACCAACACACAAACCTGCCACGCATTCCCGTTCACGGCTGTTTGTGGGAACACTGCAACACGGCAATGTGTGTGTGCAGGAAAAAACAAACCCGCCTCGCAGCCTGTCCTCACCCAGGCTCCTCCTCTAAGGCTGGAAAGTTCTTCACAGCTGGGTGTGGGTGCATTGTTGTGATGTGTATATTGTTGCACTGTGATTTGTGTGCGTGCATTGTTGTGGCATGTGTTTAGTGCTGCAATTTGTGAGTGTGTCTGTGTGCGCGCACATGCTTGGGATGTGTATTTGTGTGTATGTGTGTTGTGATGTGTGAATATTTGTGAGTGCATTGTTGCAATGTGTGTGTGCGTGTTGTTGCAATGTGTGTATTTGTGTGTGTTGTTGCAATGTGTGTGATAGGTGTATGTGTGTGGTTGCAATGTGTGTGTATGTGTGCATTGTTGCGATGTGTGCACGCGCACTGTTACAGTGTGTGTTGTTGCAATGTGTGTGCATGTGTGCATTGTTGTAATGTGCGTGTGTCTGTGTGCATTGTGTTTGCAATGTGTGTTATGGCTGTATGTATCTACAGTGTTGCAAAGTGTGTGCTGTTCCAATGTATGTGCGTTGTAATGTGTGTGTCTTTGTGCATTGTTGCAATGAGTGCATGTGTGCTGTTGCAATGTGTGTGTCTGCGCACTGTTGCAATGTGTGTGTGCACGCGTCTTTATGCACTGTTGCAATGTGTGTTATGGGTGTATGTATCTGGGCATTGTTGCAATGTGTGTGTGTTGTTGCAATGTGTGTGTCTGTATGCGTTGTTGCAGTGTGTGTGTATGTGTGTGTGGTTGCAGTGTGTGTGTGTGATGGGTGTGTGTGTGTTATGTGTGTGTGTGGTTGCAGTGTGTGTGTGTGTGATGGGTGTGTGTGTGGTTGCAGTGTGTGTGTTGTTGCAGTGTGTGTGTGTGTGTGATGGGTATGTGTTGTTGCAGTGTGTGTGTTATGGGTGTGTGTGTGTGTGTGTGATGGGGGGTGTGGTTGCAGTGTGTGTGATGGGTGTGTGTGTGGTTGCATGTGTGTTATGGGGGTGTGTGTGTGATGGCTGTGTGTGTGGTTGCAGTGTGTGTGTGTGATGGGTGTGTGAGTCTGGGCAGTGTTGCAGTGTGTGTGTGTGGGTGTGTGTGTATGTGTGTGTGGGTGTGTGTGTTCAGTGTGTGTGTGTGTGTGTGTGGGTGTGTGTGTGTGTGTGATGGGTGTGTGTTCTGGCAGTGTTGTGTGTGTGTCAATGGGTGTGTGTGTGTGTTGTTGCAGTGTGTGTGTATGGATGTGTGTGTTGTTGCAGAGTGTGTGTGTGTGATGGGGTGTGTTGTTGCAGTGTGTGTGTGATGTGTGTGTGTGTGATGGGGGTGTGTTGTTGCAGTGTGTGTGTGTGTGTGTGTGATGGGGTGTGTGGTTGCAGTGTGTGTGTGTGTGTGTGATGGGGGTGTGTTGTTGATGGGTGTGTGTTGTTGTGGAGGGGTGTGTTTAGGGTGTGTGTGTGTGATGGGGGGTGTGTTGTTGCAGTGTGTGTGTGATGGGGGTGTGTTGTTGCAGTGTGTGTGTGTGTGTGTGATGGGGGTGTGTTGTTGCAGTGTGTGTGTGTGTGTGATGTGTGTGTGATGGGGGTGTGTTGTTGCAGTGTGTGTGTGTGTGTGTGTGTGATGGGGGTGTGTTGTTGCAGTGTGTGTGTGTGTGATGGATGTGTGTGTTGTTGCAGAGTGTGTGTGTGTGATGGGGTGTGTTGTTGCAGTGTGTGTGTGATGGGGGTGTGTTGTTGCAGTGTGTGTGTGTGTGTGTGTGATGGGGGGTGTGGTTGCAGTGTGTGTGTGTGTGTGTGTGTGGGGGTGTGTGGATGGGGGGTGTGGTTGCAGTGTGTGTGTGTGTGTGATGGGGGGTGTGTTGTTGCAGTGTGTGTGTGTGTGATGGGGTGTGTGGTTGTAGTGTGTGTGTGTGTGTGTGTGTGTGTGATGGGGGTGTGTGATGGGGGGGTGTTGTTGCAGTGTGTGTGTGTGTGTGTGATGGGGGGTGTGTTGTTGCAGTGTGTGTGTGTGTGTGATGGGGGTGTGTTGTTGCAGTGTGTGTGTGTGTGTTGTGATGGGGGTGTGTTGTTGCAGTGTGTGTGTGTGTGATGGGGGTGTGTGTGAGGGTGTGTGTTGTGTGTGTGTGTGTGTGTGTGTGATGGGGTGTGTTGTTGCAGTGTGTGTGTGTGATGGGGGTGTGTGTGTTGCAGTGTGTGTGTGTGTGTGTGTGTGTGTGGGGGTGTGTTGTTGGGTGTGTGTGTGTGATGGGGGGTGTGTTGTTGCAGTGTGTGTGTGTGTGTGTGTGATGGGGGTGTGTTGTTGAGTGTGTGTGTGTGTGTGTGATGGGGGTGTGTGGTTGCAGTGTGTGTGTGTGTGTGTGTGTGATGGGGGTGTGTTGTTGCAGTGTGTGTGTGTGTGTGTGATGGGGGTGTGTGTGGTTGCAGTGTGTGTGTGTGTGTGTGTGTGATGGGGGTGTGTGGTTGCAGTGTGTGTGTGTGTGTGTGTGTGTGTGATGGGGGTGTGTGGTTGCAGTGTGTGTGTGTGTGTGTGTGTGTGTGGGGGGTGTGGTTGCAGTGTGTGTGTGTGTGTGTGTTTGTGATGGGGGGTGTGGTTGCAGTGTGTGTGTGTGTGTGTGTGTGTGTGGGGGTGTGTTGTTGCAGTGTGTGTGTGTGTGTGTGTGTGTGATGGGTGTGTGTGGTTGCAGTGTGTGTGTGTGTGTGTGTGTGTTGTGGTGTGTGTGTGTGTGTAGTGTGTGTGTGTGTGTGTGTGTTGTGTGTGATGGGGGGGTGTGGTTGCGTGTGTGTGTGTGTGTGTGTGTGTTGTGTGTGTGTGTGTGTGTGTGATGGGGGTGTGTGTTAGTGTGTGTGTGTGTGTGTGTGGGGGTGTGTGGTTGCAGTGTGTGTGTGTGTGGTGTGTGATGGGGGTGTGTTGTTGCAGTGTGTGTGTGTGTGTGTGTGTGGGGGGGGTGTTGTTGCAGTGTGTGTGTGTGTGTGTGGGGGGTGTTGTTGCAGTGTGTGTGTGTGTGTGGTGTGTGTGTGGGGGGGTGTGGTTGCAGTGTGTGTGTGTGTGTGTGTGTGTGATGGGGGTGTGTGGTTGCAGTGTGTGTGTGTGTGTGTGATGGGGGGTGTGGTTGCAGTGTGTGTGTGTGTGTGTGTGATGGGGGTGTGTGGTTGCAGTGTGTGTGTGTGTGTGTGTGGGGGTGTGTGGGTGCGTGTGTGTGTGTGTGTGTGTGATGGGGGTGTTGTTGCAGTGTGTGTGTGTGTGTGTGATGGGGGTGTGTTGCAGTGTGTGTGTGTGTGTGTGTGTGGGGGGGGTGTGGTTGCAGTGTGTGTGTGTGTGTGTGTGTGTGATGGGGGTGTGTGGTTGCAGTGTGTGTGTGTGTGTGTGTGTGGGGGGGTGTGGTTGCAGTGTGTGTGTGTGTGTGTGTGTGTGTGTGATGGGGGTGTGTGGTTGCAGTGTGTGTGTGTGTGTGTGTGTGATGGGGGTGTGTTGTTGCAGTGTGTGTGTGTGATGGGTGTGTGTGGGTGTGTGTTGTGTGTGTGTGTGTGTGTGTGTGTGTGATGGGGGTGTGTTGTTGCAGTGTGTGTGTGTGTGTGTGGGGGGGTGTGTGTTGCAGTGTGTGTGTGTGTGTGTGATGGGGGTGTGTTGTTGCAGTGTGTGTGTGTGTGTGTGTGTGTGATGGGGGTGTTGTTGCAGTGTGTGTGTGTGTGTGTGTGTGGGGGTGTGTGGTTGCAGTGTGTGTGTGTGATGGGGGTGTGTGGTTGCAGTGTGTGTGTGTGATGGGGGTGTGTGGTTGCAGTGTGTGTGTGTGTGTGTGTGTGATGGGGGTGTGTGGTTGCAGTGTGTGTGTGTGTGTGTGTGTGATGGGGGTGTGTGGTTGCAGTGTGTGTGTGTGTGTGTGTGTGTGTGTGTGTGTGTGTGTGTGGGTGTGTGTGGTGCAGTGTGTGTGTGTGTGTGTGTGTGTGATGGGGGTGTTGTTGCAGTGTGTGTGTGTGTGTGTGTGTGTGATGGGGGTGTGTGGTTGCAGTGTGTGTGTGTGTGTGTGTGTGTGTGATGGGGGTGTGTGGTTGCAGTGTGTGTGTGTGTGTGTGTGTGTGATGGGGGGTGTTGTTGCAGTGTGTGTGTGTGTGTGTGTGTGTGTATGGGGGTGTGTGGTTGTGTGTGTGTGTGTGTGTGTGTGTGTGATGGGGGTGTGTGGTTGCAGTGTGTGTGTGTGTGTGTGTGATGGGGGTGTGTGGTTGCAGTGTGTGTGTGTGTGTGTGTGTGATGGGGGGGTGTGTTTGTGCCTCGGAGCCTTCACACGGCGCTGCCCCGCAGGGATCGATCCCACGTCCCTTCGGCCGCCGGCCGCCCCGCGCCCCCGCGCCCCCCGCCGGGCTCCCGCTCGTCCCGCTCCGGGGGGGCCGCGCTCACCCCGCCGCCTCCCGCCCCGGCCTCCTCGGCAGCGGCGCAGGTGGCCGCGCGCGGCGGGCGCGCCCCAGCCCCGCTCCCATGGGCCGGGCTGCCCGGCGCGGGCCCGGACGCCGGGGTCCCCGGCGCTGACGGGGCCGGGGGAGCGGCCCGGGGTCCCGGCGCGATGGGCGAGTGGACGATCCTGGAGAGGCTGCTGGAGGCCGCGGTGCAGCAGCACTCGACGATGATCGGCAGGTGCGCGCGGCGGGGGGGGGCCCGGGGGGGCGCGGGGGGGCGGGTCCCGTGCACCCTCCGGCTCTGGGCGGGGCGGGGGGGGGTCTGACCCCGTGCACCCTCCGGCTCAGGGGGGGGGTCTGACCCCGTGCACCCTCCGGCTCTGGGGGGGGGGGGGGGTCTGGTCCCGTGCACCCTCCGGCTCTGGGGGGGTCTGGTCCCGTGCACCCTCCGGCTCGGGGGGGTCTGACCCCGTGCACCCTCCGGCTCTGGGGGGGGGGGGGGGGTCTGGTCCCGTGCACCCTCCGGCTCTGGGGGGGGGTCTGGTCCCGTGCACCCTCCGGCTCTGGGGGGGGGGGACCCCGTGCACCCTCCGGCTCGGGGGGGGGTCTGACCCCGTGCACCCTCCGGCTCTGGGGGGGGGGGGTCTGGTCCCGTGCACCCTCCGGCTCTGGTGGGGGGGTCTGGTCCCGTGCACCCTCCGGCTCGGGGGGGGGGGTCTGGTCCCATGCACCCTCCGGCTCTGGTGGGGGGTCTGGTCCCGTGCACCCTCCGGCTCGGGGGGGTCTGACCCCGTGCACCCTCCGGCTCTGGGGGGGGGGGGGGTCTGATCCCCGTGCACCCTCCGGCTCTGGGGGGGGGGTCTGAGCCCGTGCACCCTCCGGCTCTGGGGGGGGGGGTCTGACCCCGTGCACCCTCCGGCTCTGGAGGGGGGGTCTGACCCCGTGCACCCTCCAGCTCTGGAGCGGCCGCTGGCCACAGGGGAGCCGGGGGGCACATGCACCCTCCCTGGGGGGCTGGAAGAGTTTGTGTCGTGGGGGTGCCGAGGGGGGTTTGTGTTGCGGGGGGGGGCACTGGCCCCTTGCAAGGAGCTGGGGCCAGGGTTGCCAGCTGTAGCAGCAGGAGAGGCACGTGCCCAGATTACCCGCCGGGAGAGCCCAGTGGGTCTGATGGTTAGAGCAGGATGCTGGGGTTCTGGAGTGGGAGGGGAGCCAGGACTCCTGGGTTCTCTCCCAGCTCTGGCAGGGGAGCAGGGCTAGTGGTTAGAGCCGGGGGGACTGGAGGCAGGATCCAGGTTCTACTCCGGACACAGCCTTCCCGAGTGATCTTTAGCAAGTCCCATCCCCTCATCCTGCCTCAGTTTCCCCCTCTGTAGAATGCGGGTTCGGCCCCGGATCTACGGGATGGGGGGTTTGCAGACTGCGTGCTGTGGGATCCCGGCCGGGGGAGGTGCTATCCGCGTGAGGAGCAAACCCAGCACCCACCCTGCACTGCGGTGGGGGAGGGGGGGTGTGTGGATATGGGGCGATGTGTGGGGGGGGCGCCAGGGGCCCTGTTCCGACCCGGCAACCCCTCTGCCAGGTGGCAATGAAGGAGCCGGTAGCTGCCCTCCCCGCGGGGCTGCGGATCAGTGCCCGGGGAACCAGCCAGCTGCTCGCGCTCGCTGTCCCCTCCCTGCCCGCAGGCCCCGGGGCAGATGCGCCAGCCTGACCCTAGAGGTCAGCCAGGGAAAACGGGGGGGGGAGCAACCTCCAGCTCTGGCACAAAGCCACCAAGGCAGTGGGGCCGGGAGGAGGCTGCACTGGGGGGCGGAGGGGGCAGCTCTGGACGGGGAAGGGGCAGAGGGGACGGGCGGAGCTGGGCGCTCAGTGCCAGGACAAGCAGGGCGGGAGGAGAGAGGGACAGGGGAGGATGGACGGATGGTGGGGGACGCTGACTCCAGGCTGTGAGATTCCTGGGGGCACCCGTCTCATGTCGGGGGGGCCGTTTCCCAGCAGGGACTGACCCCCGTGTCAGGATCACGCTGTCGGGTCTGGTCCCCGGCTCTGGTTGGCTGCATGTTCCGGACCCTGTTGGCAGGCTGGGAACCCCGGCTGGGCCCATACGGTGTTTTCGGGCCCCTCGGCCCAGCGAAGCGGGATCGGGGCCGAGATGAGCAGGAGGGCTCGGATGCGGAGGGGTTCCCGAGCGGGACACAGCGGGGTGGGGCCTTGAGGGCCCAGACCCCAGCCTCACTCCCCACCCTACGGTTCCCAGCTGATGCTCGCGGGCGGCCCGGCGGGTTTGGCCTCGGGGCAGGACAAGCGGCCTCCGGATCAGAGAGGACATGAGCAGCCCAGGGGTCCCCTGGCATGTGCTGCAACAACCCGTCATCCCAGCTTGCGGGGCATCGGGGGGGGGGGCGCCACGCAGACCCCCGGCTGAGACCAGGGGGGCCCCTGTCACGCCACACAGACCCCCGGCCGAGACAGGCCCTGCTCGTCACGGGTCAGCATCACCTGCGGTGAGCGATCTCCTGCACCGCTCTGGGGATTAGCTCTGATCTCCTGCGGAGCCGTCCCACCCCGCGGACCCCTCGCTCCCGGAGCCGCAGCCTCCTCTTGGGGACTCAGCCCTCTGGCCGGCTGTCTCCGGGGTTCCCCCTTCCCGGGGGGGTATCAGAATCCCACCGGCAGGGGAGCCTGGGTCTTCCCTGCAGCCTCCTTCGGCTGCCAGCTCCCTGGCTTTACACAGGCCCCTCCCGACGCCTCCCCAGCTGCGCCTCCTGGCTGATTAATCAATCCCTGCTCCCTGGCGCCTCCTAGTGGACCCTCTCAGCGGCGGTGTGGGGCATACGCCCCATCCTCCTGCCCCATAGCCCTCCCCGCCCAGGTAGACCGAGGAGGGATTGTTCTACCCATTTTACGGCTGGGGAAACTGAGGCACAGAGCTTGGGCGAGCCGCCCGAGGTGACTCGGGGGGTCTGTGGCAGCTCTGGGAATGGAAGCCAGGCCTCGTGCGCTCCACCCCACCACCAGGCACAGCCCTGATGCCCGGCCGTCCGGTAACGCTGCCCTGGGCAGCGCTCAGTTCCTCTCCACTGGGTCCAGGGCTGGGCCGTGGGGGCAGGTTGGAGTGGGGTGCAGCAGGTGGCCCCAGCCTGCGTCAGGGCAGAATCCAGCGCATGGCGTCTGGCAGGGGCCCGGTGGGGGCCCGTCGCCCAGAGTCACTGGGCTGGTGAAGGCCCTGGGGGCTTTACTGCAGGGAGGGAGGGGCCCACATGTGAGCCTATGCCCATCATCTGACTCATCAGCTTCCATTAAAGGGCCCCTGGGCATGGTGTATTGTGGGGGAGTGGGGTCTAGTGGTTAGAGCAGGGGAGCTGAGAGCCAGGACTCCTGGGTTCCATCCCCAACTCTGTGACTATGTTCCTGGGTGGCCTTGTGGAAACCCCTGACTCAATTTCCCTCTCTGTACTATGGGTCTAGCAGGTTCGTCTTTCAGGGGCTGCGAGGATCGATCCCCTGACAGGCGTGAGGCTCTCATTCCAGGCAGGGCCCTAGGCAGCTGGGGCGGTGGGGATATGGTGGACCAGCTCTCCTGCGGGTCAGTGGCCCAGAAGGGCACGGCCGTGGGGTTAATGCCCTGGGACTCTGGGCTCTAATCCCTGCTCTGCCCTGATTCCCTGGGCAAGTCGCTGCATCGCTCTGGGCCTCAGTTTCCCCAGCTGTAATGTGGGAGAAAAATCTGCCCTTTGCTCAGATGGTGAGTTCTTTGGGGCAAGGACTGTTTCCTGCTGGGTCTGCGATGCCCAGCCCGACGGGGCCCTGATCTTGGCCGGGGTCTGAGCAGCACCCGGCCCGACGGGGCCCTGGTCTTGGCCGGGGTCTGGGCAGCGCCCGGCCCAAGGGGGGGCCGGTTCTGGTGGAGCACGCCCGGTGTTTCATTGCCAGCCCCCTGGGTGAGATTGTGACCGGTGCCGAGGGAGGAGAGACAGGCGGGGCCGCTGCCCCATCACTGAGGCCAGGAGGATGCTGGTTTCAGCCCTGTGGGGTTTGCGTGTGCTCCCCCTGCCCCCCCGGCTGGTGGGCATGTGGAGGGGGTGTCTCTGGCCCCACCGATTCAGATCCTGGGGTGGGCTTTGTCTTCCTGACGGAGTTAACCCCTCGCCTGCTGGGGTTTGCTGGCTGCGGCGCTCCACCCCAGAGGTAGCTGCATTCTAAGGGTGCAGGGTTGGGCGTGAAAGGCCCCAGGGAAAGCCACCGAGCGTCCTAGCTCCCAGCACCGCCCTGCTCTAATCACTAGACCCCCCTCCCCTCCTCTCCCCGAGCTGGGATAGAACCCAGGAGTCCTGACTCCCTTCCCCCAAACGTAGCTCCCACAGTCTTGCCAACCTGCAAAGATCAGCGATCCTGTCTCAGACCCCCCAAGACAGAAGAGATTTTTGAAATGCCGCCAGGAGCTTGGGGTGACTGGTGATGGGTGAATGCCCCCTGCCCAGCCCTGGAGGGCTTGGGGGGGAAGGGGGCTAGTGTTGTCCCCTCACCCAGCTTTATTGGGTTGGGGGATTGTGAACCCCGCTGCTGGAGCTGTCATCCCCACACAACCCAGCCCTTGATTCTCCCCTGCCTCCAGCAATTCGGGCCCACTTCAATTCACTCCCCTGCCCCATGAGTTCTGCCCCACCCCCGCCTCCTGGCGTTCTTCACCCCCCTCCCCCCACGTGACAGGCATGGGGCAGCAGCTCCCCAATGGGGGGCAACAGGGCCCCCCCGTTAGCACAGCTGGGCTGTGTAGAGGAGGCCGGGCTGCTGGCTTTAATCACCCGGCGCTGCTAAACTTTCTGGTGCTCCGGAGTCACCCCCAGCTGTTTATCCCCAAACATTATAGAGACCCTGCCCCCCCCCACCTCTGGGGCAAGAGATCTGGTGGGCAGGGGCTGTAAATATTGAGGGAATTTAATGCACTGGATGGGAGATGAGTGAGCATCAGGCATCCCGTTATACAGAGCGGGAAACTGAGGCACAGAGGGGTCGGGGGGGAGAAAGGACTTTGGCCAGAGATTTTACAGCAAGAGAACGACAGAGCTAGGAATAGGACTCAGGAGTCCTGGAGCCCAGATCCCCCCTTCTCTAACCACTAGCCACCAGTGCCCTTTTGGAGACCGGGCTAAAACCCAGGAGTCCTGACTCCCAGCCTCCCCCGCTCTAACCACTAGACCCCACTCCCCGCCCAGCACTGGGAAAGAACCCAGGCCTCCTGCCTGCCACGAACTCCCCCCGCAGCCTGGGCTCCCGGCGGAGTGGGGCCTGCTCCCCTCGCCACGCCCAGCTGGGTCGCTCCCCCCGCCCCCCCCCCACAGGATCCTGCTGACGGTGGTCGTCATCTTCCGGATCCTGATCGTGGCCATCGTGGGCGAGACGGTGTACGAGGACGAGCAGACCATGTTCACGTGCAACACCCTGCAGCCCGGCTGCAACCAGGCCTGCTACGACAAGGCCTTCCCCATCTCCCACATCCGCTACTGGGTCTTCCAGATCATCCTGGTCTGCACGCCCAGCCTCTGCTTCATCACCTACTCGCTCCACCAGTCGGCCAAGCAGCGGGACCGGCGCTATTCCTTCCTCCACCCGCTGCTGGAGAAGGACGCCCGGAAGGCGCGGAGCGTCAACGGGATCCTGGTGCACAACCCCGAGGGCTCGGCCAAGGAGGAGCCCGCCTGCCTGCAGGTCAAGGAGCTGCCCAGCGCCCCCCCGGCGGCCGCCCAAGAGCGCCAAGGTCAAGCGGCAGGAGGGCATCTCCCGCTTCTACATCATCCAGGTGGTCTTCCGCAACGCGCTGGAGATCGGCTTCCTGGCGGGCCAGTACGTCCTGTACGGCTTCCACGTGCCGGCCACCTTCGGGTGCGACCGCTACCCCTGCGTCAAGGAGGTGGAGTGCTACGTCTCCCGGCCCACTGAGAAGACCGTCTTCCTGCTCTTCATGTTCGCCGTGAGCGGGATCTGCGTGCTGCTCAACCTGGCCGAGCTCAACCACCTGGGCTGGCGCAAGATCCGGACGGCCGTGCGGGGCGTGCAGGCCCGGCGCAAGTCGGTCTGCGAGGGGCGCAAGAAGGACCCGGCGGCCCCGGCGCCATCGCTGGGCCGGACCCAGTCCAGCGAGTCCGCCTACGTCTGAGCCCCGGGGCCGGCCGCTTTCCAGTGCGAACGCCGGCGGGGGCCTCTCGCGCCGCGCCCCCTCGGGGGCGGGGGGGGGCCGCAGGTTTGCTGCAAGGGCTGAATGGGAGACATGGGACACCCCCCCCCCCCCCGATCCAGCCTGGGGAAGCTCCCAGCCATTTTAAAAAAACAAAAGTTATTTATTGTTCCTCGGAGTCTTCCAACATGGTGCAAGCTGGGGGGAGGGTTCCTGGAACTTGTCCCCCCCCCGCCCCCATCAGCCTTTTCCAGCCCTGGGATCAGCCAGGGGTGGGGGGGGGGGCTGGTTGTGTTTCTGCAGGGAGAAGGGGCGGGCAGATCACGGCTCCTGGCTTTTTCTCAGCCCTTGGGCTGGAAATAAAAAAGGAAACCGATGAGCAGATGCAGTTTTTAATCATTCGGAAATAAGCTGGGTGGTAGATGGGGCTGGGCTGCAGGGAGCAAGGGGGGGGCTCTCCCCTGGCAGTCCGGCCTGGCCCGTCTCACTTGCAGGGGGGCAGGGGGACACTGGCTGCAGAGAAACGGGGCAAAGTGTCCCTGGGTGGACAGCTCCCTGCCGCCAGCACCCCCCCTCCCCAGAGACGGGGAGCTTGTGGCTGGGAGATGGGACTGCAAAGGGGGCAGTCCTGTCCCCCCCCAATCCCATCGGCCCTGCCTGCCTGGCTGGGGGAGGTGCCAGGGGCTGGTTCTGGCTCAGCGCCCACTGCCAGTCCCAGTAACCCCCCCGCCCCATTGGGATTTCAGCCCTTAAGCTGCTCTGGGCTGTGACCATCTGGCCATATCCCCTCCCTCCCTGGGCACTTTGCATGGGGGGGGAGAACCAGCCCCTGTAGATAATGGTCTGGCCATTTGCCAGCACTGATCTCAAAGCACTGTGAGGGCTGCAGTCTCCTGCTGCCCCCCCCCCCGCCATGTTAACATCATCCCCATTTACAGAGAGGGGGCAAGACATGGCCAAGATCACCCAGCAGGGCCAGGGATAGAAACCAGGCATCCTAGTTCCCAGCCCACCCCCCCCAACCCTGAGAGACCCCTCCCCTCCCAGAGCTGGAGACAGAACCCAGGAGTCCTAGCTCCCAGCCCCCCTCCTAGCTCTGTGCCCTCCCTTTAATAATCCTCTCCCATCATCTCCCCCCCCCCACCCCGTACTTTCACCTTTTAAGCCCCTCACTGCCCTGAAGCTCCGGGTTGTTGAACAAAACCACCCCCCCCCACGTGGCTCAGCCCCAGGGGGTGGGGGGGGGGGGGAGAGAAAGGGGCCCAAAGGGGAACAACACCCTAGTGACTCCTGTGTGAGCCCAGCACGGACCCCCAGCCGCCCCGTGACAGCCCCATGCATTAAAACCGTGACCCCTCCCCGTGGCCAGCACCCGGCCCCCACTGGGGGCAGACGGTGGGTGACCCCTGGGGGTGGGAGGAGGGATGAAGGGAGGGACAGCTGGCGGGGGGGGGGCAGTGGGTAGAAATCCCATGAGGACTGGAGGCAGAAGGGGGAGGTGAGGGCAGGGGTGACCAGGCCACAGCCCCCTCCCAGGCCCAGAAGGGGGGGGGGGGGCAAAGGCAGATGCAGCCAGCCAGATGGGTGGTCCCAGCACCTGCCCCCATTGAGATCCCACAGTGCCCCTTGTGCTGGGATCACAGGGGTGGGGGGGAAGCACCAGGTGAGCAGGGGACCTGGCCCTCTGGCAACAGCATCCCCCCCTGCCCCCCTTCGTTAGCACCAAGGAGGTGACACCTCGTTCCCGGTCACACCTCTATTAACAGAGCATGGGAAGAGCAGGGCACCAGGAAGCGGGGGAGGAGCTGGGAGCCAGGACTCCTGGGTTCTCTCCCAGCTCTGGGAGGGGAGTGGGGTGTAATGGTTAGAGCTGGGGGTGGGGAGTGGCTGGGAGCCAGGATTCCTGAGTTCAGTTCCCCTCACCTCTTTCCTGATCTGTGCACTTGGCCAGGACACAAATGGCCCCCTCTGGCATCTGAGTGTCCCACAGTCCCCCCCCGGCAGCAGGAGAACGTCCTCCCTCCTCAGCCCCCCAGCCCAGGGGGAGCCACCCCACGCAGGAACAAGACCCCGAGCCTGCCAGGCCTCCTGGGCTCCGCACTGGTGCATGGAGCTTTGTCCCCCGACTCCAGGGGTCCCCACCCCACAGCCGCGCCGACCCATGCCCAGAGCATGAGGGCTGCCCAGCGTTGGGTGGGGTGAGATGGGCCTAGAGGCAGAGCAGGGCCTAGCACCCAGTGGGTCGCCAGGCCAGCTGAGAGCCAAACCAGGCTGGGGCTGTTTTGATTTCGGAGACAGCCGGGAGGAGGCCGCAGCCCACGACAGCGAAACTGCATTAGGTGGCCTGAATTATGCATGGGAGCCGGGACGCCGCATCAGCACATCCCCCAGAGCCAGCCGCTGCGGGCGCCAGGAGGGGAGCTGCTGGCCAGGCAGAGTCCCTCACCGGTGTGGGGGGGCAGGGTCACCCCTGGGAAGCAACAGACCCACCAAAGCTAGAAATCTTCACCCACCGTCCCCTGGCCAGGAGAGGGCCCCAGCTCCACGAAGCAGACTGGTAACGTGATGGGGGAAACTGAGGCAGAAAGCCAGTGAGGATGGAGGACTCCCTGACAGCCAGGACTCCTGGGTTCTCAGGGGAGGCCCAACAGCACTGGAGCTGGGCCAGAAGGGTCCACTCAGCAGCAGAGCCAGGGAGAGGACCCCGGAGTCCTGGCTCCCAGCCCCCACCCCCTTCCCAGAGGTGCTGGCCAGGAAGGGCAGAGAGGAGCTGGCTGGCAGATGCCGCGGTAGAAGCTGTGAGCCAAGCTGGCATCCCCAGCAGCTGGGGGGTGATGGGGGGTGGGGGGAAGATACTGTCCTGAATAGAAGCCAGATGTTGCTAAACCATGCACATCAAATCACCGCGCTGCGCCCTGCAAACGCCAGCCCCGTGGAGGGGATTTGGGGCAGGACGCGGGGGGTGCTAGGGGGCCGTGCAGGAAACGAGGAGCTGGAGCGACAGGAGATGCCCAGGGCTTTAATCCGATGGTCGGTACAAACGGCCGGCGCTGGGGACAGTGCTACAATCTGCAAGGCAAAGCAGAGGGCGGTTAGGGGGCTCGGCCGCGGGTGGGGGGCAGGAACGGGGCATTCAGGGAATCTGCTGCTGGTGAAATCCCAGAGACCGAACTCTTTATCCTCAGAAGAGGGTGTAACCCCAGGGGGAGGGGCCAGCACCGGTCCCATGCACCCTGCTAGACCGGGCATGCCCCCCCTCATCCCCCACTGCCCCAGCCCGTGGGTCCCCCCCGGAACCTCCTACTTACGTGACTTCGCGGAAGGCCCTCTTCTCCACGTACTTCAAACGGTATTTCCTCTTGAACCTGGTGGGGGGGCCAGTGGAGAAAGGGGGGGTTAGATCCCAGCCACAACGAATGGGGTACAGGCCCCTCAAATAAACCCACCAACCAGGGGGAGGGACTCAGGATGAGCCCTGCCTGATCCTCCCCCGCCCCCTCTGCTCCCCAGAGCCCTGGAACACCCCCCACCCCACCCCATGCCGGAGCCTGATTTGGGAACCTATGGGGGAGGGGGATGGGTTGGGGGAGCCTGCGCCCCCCCCTCTTCCAGTGCTGGGTCCAGCACCTCAATGAACCGCTTATGGCTAGCGATGCCCACCCTGCCCGAACCGTCCCAGGGTGTCAGCCCTGCCCCACCCCAGCTAAGGGGCAGAGACCCCTTCCCCCCCGCCCAGAGCACATGTGGGTCGGGATTCTCCTGCCAACCTCCCCCCTGGCAGAGCAGGCACAGGCTGCCCGGGGCCGTGGGGCCCCCCAGGCCTGCGCGGGGGCCCCCACTCACTTGGCTCGCTCCCTGGGCTCGATCAGGTTTCTCTTCTGCAGGCTCTTGAAGCGGTCACGTAGGATGCTGCCCTCGGGCTGAGCGAGAGACGGGCAAAGCTGGTCAGAGCTGGGGGGTTCAGTCTGTGCTCTGGCTACGGGGAGGGGAATCTACTCGCTCCCATTTACCAGCCGCCCCTCACCCCGGCCTCAGATCTCAGCGCTGGGCTGGGACGCCCCAGCCCCAACTCTGCAGAGACCCCCTCACTGAGCTTCAAGAGGCAGCGCGTGTGGGGGGACGGGAGTGACGGACAGGGGACCCTCAGAGCAGCCAGATGGGGAGACCGAGGCAGCAGATGGCCCCCCGGAAGAATTAGAGTGCTAAGCTGCCGCCCCCATCAGCCCCATCCCTGCCCTGGGGGGCAGCTGGGACCACCCCACAGCTGGGAGGCTGCAGCCCCCTCTCCCACTGCCCCAGACTGGGGGGGCCCCACAGGGCAGAGAGGAAGCCGGTTCCTGTCCCACCATCAGCTGAGGCCCGCAAGCTACACCTGGCGAACGAGAGCGGGGGACGCTGCACCCTGGGCACCCGCTGGGGGCATGGGTGGGGCCCCCCGGGTTGCAAAAGTATTGCACAGGAGGGCAGTGGTAGAGACAGAGCAAGGAGGGGGTGCAGAGGTGGGGGAACGGGGGGCCACAGGGGTCTCTAGACCCTGCAGCAGCTCCCAGACTTGCCCAGCAGCGTCAGGCCTCGGCACGGCGCCGGCTGGGTGAAATCCCAGCCCGGGATCTGTGCCGGGGCCCGCAGGTGCAGGCACGGACATGGAATTAAGGCAGAGGAATGTGGCCACGGGGGGGAGGGGGGGGTGAGCTGCTGCCATGTTAACGGGGGCATCCGTAGGCACCCCTCATTGGACTACGGGCTATAAACTCTCATGCTCCAGGGCAGGGGGCAGCTGCCAGCCACGAGGGTCAGGCAGGATTTGCCTCTGCGGGCAGGTTATCCCATAATCATGCACGGGGGGGGGGCGCACGTGGCACCGGCCCCTGTTGGAGGCTGGGACACCGACGGGAGGCGGTGCCCGCTGCCGATTGGGTGGCTGGCCTGTCTGTCGGTGCGCACAGGACGAGAAGGAGGCTACATCTGGTGCCCTCAGTCCCCAGGTCCTTCCCCACTGGGCAGGGCCCGGGAAAACCCCGGGTGACCTTCACATTCCCAGCATGCACTGCTGCGAATCCTCCTAGCGCAAGGATGGGTCTCATCACGGGGCACCAGTGTCGGCTCCGCCCCCCGAAACACCGACCCCCCCGGGGGCACCCAGGGCAGCCCTGGCTCCAGGGAGATGGCCGCTGGTGCGCGCGCCCACCTTGAGCGTCCGCAGGGACTCGGCCAGCTCCGTGCTCAGCTGCACCTCCAGGTCGGGGTCTTCGTACCTGCCGGAGAGAGACCCCGGGGGTGGGGGGAGGGTTAGAAGA